AAATTTATATATATATATATATATATATAAAATCTTCCACTGGGTAGTTATGGTGCACCCCTTTAATCCCAGCACTTAGGAGGCAGAGGCAGGTGGATTTCTGAGTTCAAGGCCAGCTTGGTCTACAGAGCAAGTTCCAAGACAGCCAAACTGTGTTTCCAAAAAGTCAAAACAAAACCCCCCCCAAAAGAAAAAGCACAGCAGACATTACTAATCAACTACAGAGACTCTTTTTCTCGTTTTTCATAGTGCCAGGATCTTTTGTAGTCCACTCACTCCTGAGCTACCAGGAACAGGCCAGTAAGAAGGGCCAGGGTCTGTTCAGACAGGGGCTCACCTGCAGCTAGCGTGCTTCCTGCCTCGCCCTTGAATGCTGGGACAGGTGTGCACTATCATCAGGCTTGGACCCTCCCCTCTCCTCACCATCAGGTAGTTTGGGCCCACACACATGTCAATCACCTGCCCATCTTTTTGTATGGCCTGTGGCCCTCCATGTACCTCCTGAAGGCACCACCAGCCACAGGGTCAGAGGTTGATACTTCAGTTGACACTCGAGCTGTGTGGCCTTGGCAACCTCTCTGGGCCTCCATTTCCCCCCTCACAAGATGAGGTCATTGTCTTCCCTGGGAGATGATAGGGCAGCCTGGCTGAAGGACACTTCATGTTCCTTCTAGGGCCCACCAGGCATATCAACTGGGATTCTGTGGGGAGGAAAATAATACAAGCAGCCATTCCTTGACCAGCTTTTATTTTAGCCTTCATACCCTGTCCATGGCAGACATCTCTTAGCCCTAGAGTCAGCTGGACCATCTTTGTGCTTTGGGGAAAAAGGGCACCTCTCCCCTCCCCTACCTCCTGCGCTGTACCTTTAGAGTTTGTAAACCCATCCCAGACTAGAGTCTATGCCTTAGCCCGCCAGCTGGGTCACACCAGGGAGACCTGAGCCCCACCCAGTGGGAGAGTTAAAAAGATAGGGACCAAGTCCCCAGAGGCACCTGTGCAGACAGCAGAGCTCAGTGACAGCTAGGTGTCAGTGTGTCTCCTGGTAGGGCTGGACTCCCTGGGGACAATGCCACCCCTTCCCACCAGTCAACAGTAACGGGAGAGGGGGTGCGGATACTAAACTTCACTGCTGGAAGAAAGACAAATGCAATACCTTATAAACTTCAAAGTGAAACCCACAGCCAAGCCCTGGCGCCTGAACCAGCAGGCAGCCAAGAGGCTCTGGTGGCAGAATCACCTACAGAACCCCAACCCAGAGCCTCCCGGGACAGGAGTGGGGCCAGGGTGAAATCTGTCCACCTGACGCAGAGACTGGAGTGAGTGTCCTCCAGTCCCCAGGGCAGGGCACTGAGGAGGACTGTAAACAAGACCCAGGTGGGGCAGGTTGTCCCGCCCAACACTCTGGAAGAGAGCCAGCACTGAGAAGGGACCCAGCAGGGAGGCCCACTGGTTGTCTGGAATCAGGCAGAGGTGAGCCTGGGAGGAAGCTAGGCCACAGCCCAGGACTGGAGGTTACTTGGTTCTAAGAGGCCCTGCCTGCCAAGGCCGGGCAAAGTCCTGCCTTAGCTGGTTCCAGGCCAGGGCCTTGGGGATTTATCCAGTTTAACTCCACCTTCTACCTGCTGCTTCAGACCCAAATGAGCAGCCCAGGCAGCAGCCTCTGGGCCCAGGCTTCCTGACCCTTGTGAGGACCGGTACTAGGTGGACCTTGGGCCCCATGAGCCTGTGGCCTACTCCAGGGCTGTCCTGGGGCAGGGCTCTCTAGCAACCAATTCCTTGAGTTCTTGTAGAATGTTCAGGCCCCAGGTTCTTCTTGGCAGTAACTGCCACTGAGCCCAGAGGTCAGGTCTTCTGGGTCACATGTCCTTTGTCCCCTGGAAGCCTGGCTTGACTCAGGCTTCCCTCACAGCCAGTAGGCCCCTTAAGGCTGGTCTTGGGTATGAGTCCCACTAGACTCAGAAGGATGCCAGGAGACCCTCAGGCCAGCTAGGCCAGTGTGGCCTCCACGCCACTGGCTCCTGAGGGCCCGCACCTCCAGTCCATACTGCTCATGTAGCTGAGCAAATGATACCAAGGGCCCATTGCAAGCAGAGGCCCTGCGACGGGGCGGTAGCGGTGGGCGCTGGGGGGCTGCAGTGGGTTGCTCAGGCAGCGCACTCCATACTGCCCGGCCATTCTCCTTGGGTCGCGGGTTCGAGATTGGGCTTGGGCTGGCCGGCAAGGCATTGGCAGGGCTTCCCTCCCGCATGGCTGCCAGCTGCTGCTCCAACTCACGCACCACCAAGCGCAGGTAGTGGAAGCTGGCTCGTGACAGCGCCTTCACCCAGCCCTCCAGGGCCGCCTGGCTATCAGCTGCCAGCACGTAGGGCCGAGAGCGACCGCCGGCAAAGTGCACGGCGAAGGCAAACTCCTCCCGGACATCCACCAGCTCCACCGTGCACCCCTCCAGCAGGATGACACCCAGCGGCTCGCGGCTGGCCTCTGCCTCGAAGTAGAAGAGCATGTTGCCACGAAGCACGAACCAGCGCCGGTGCGAGCCCGCCCCGCGTCCACCACGCTTGTGGAGGAAGCCAGCATTGTCCACTGGAGCATCGCAGGTTGCATAGAAGGCCAGGCTGCGCTCGTTCAGCTTCATGGCCGCAAGGCCTGCCCTTGTCCCCTGCACCAGAGCTGATGTTACTCCTAAGATCACCAACTCCTGGACCACCAGTGGCCACCTTCCACCACACCCACACCAGCCCCAGTGAGCACGGGGAGACAAGACTCGAACCCAAGTCTCACGTGGCCACTCGGAGCCCTTCTGCTGCCCCTAATTCAGGAAAGAACATTAAGCATTCTGAGCTCTCTCAACACCACGCAAGTTAGCTCCAGCAGGCAATGACCTTGGGTGACCCAGGCTAGTGACCATGCCTCAGTTGGGGAAACAGAGGCACACTGAGGAAACAACCACACAGCCAAGGTCACAAAACAAGTTGGCTAGAGCCTTTGTTGGCCCCAGGAGGTCCCTAAGGTCCCAGCTCTGTGACTCAGCCTGGTGAGAGGTGAGCCATAGAGCATGGCAGGTAGGGGAAGAGTGAACACAAAAGCCCTGTGCTGAAACCCTACTGCTATGAGGAATGGGGACCCGAGGGGGTGGAGGAAAACTCACCCAGCGTGCTGGAGCAGCTGTCAGCAAACACTCTAGGTAAAACAGGAGCCCGGCCCAGACTGACAGGGAGGGGCAGGGCACTCTAACATAGGGGGGCAGCAGTGGGCAGGAGGACCTAGCGGGCGGTGGCACACTGGTGCCCAGTGTGGCATCTTGGAGGAGGTCCTGCGCCCTGCTGCCCCTGTCATGGCCATACTTTTCAAGAGTATGTGAAGAGCCTGGAATGAGTAAGCACTCAGCCAATGTCCACCCCTTCTGCCTGGGTGGCAGGCGCTGCCTGAAGTCAGGAGGAATGAGGCCTGGGTGGTGGCTCTGTGGGGCCAGGCTGTGCCACCAGATAGGTGGAGGGAGAAGCGGCTGCCAAACAAATACTTATTTTCCTGCCGCCTCCTGCCACCCACACTGCAGTCAGGGACAGCTTACTGCCGAGCTGGAGGCTGAGACCTGCTTATCCCCAAGGAGCAATGAGGCTGGGACCTCAGCCCCTGAAGGCTCTGGTGTGTTTAATCCTCACTCTGCCTTCTTGTGCTGTGTGGCTTCTTATATCCGCTGTCCCTCTCTATGCCTGTTTCTGCGTAAGTGACTCATGCATCCCTCCCAAAACATCCGTCATGCCCACCTGACCCTGCTCACTCAGTTACACGTCAGCTCAGTCTCCAGGCTGGGTCACCTCGGTGCGCACAGTCAGCCTCTCTGGACCTCTAGTTCTTCATCTATGAAAAGAGAGCAAAAGTGTCTAAGTCAAGTTTATGGCAATGAGATCAGGACCCGGGGAACCAGGCCCTCTGCCGTGGCAGCTGTTAACAGTGTACTTCGCCCCCCTCTAGTCTGTCCTGTCTCAGTGAGTGGCCCCTGGTGTACCCCTCCCCTCCACATCTAATCACTGAGGCCAGGTGATCCTCCCATGCCCGCCTCAGTCTTCCAAAAGCAATGGTTGTCTAGGTCCCCATCTCTGTTTCTCTGTTTGCTGGAATCACTGCAGTAGCCTCTACAGCTGTCGCCTGCCTCTACCTTTGCCCCTTCCTATCTTGCCACTCAAGGTAAGATCACCTCTCCTAGACCCACAATGGTGCCCTTATCTCCCATAACTTCTACCCACTTCTCAGCTCCCCCAATCTCAGCTCCTTTCCCAATCTCTTCCTGCCTTTGTCCCCAGACCTCGGCCACTTTGACTGCCTTTCTGTCCCCCAAATGCACCAGACACTTTCCTACATCAGGACCCTTGCCCTTACTGTTACTCTCCGCCTGGGGTGCCGTTCCCTACCACATGGTGGGCTTCACCACTGCCTGGGAGAGGCATCCTCAGACCACAAGACACCACCAGGCAATCACTGCACCCCAGCTGAAGATTACCTGGCTCATTCATGCCTGCTCCAGGAAGGGAGGGTTTTTCTGCCTGGATGTGAGAGCCCAGTGTGTAGCAGGTACTTCTGGGAGCCTACAGGGCAAAACAAACCTTTGTCAAGATGAGGGCGCTGTGACAAGGAGTGGTCCCCATTCCATATTCATGGATGGGAAGATTGACCTGCCCCAAGAACAGGGCTCAGAGCAAACAGCCCAAGTGGGGCACTAACCTAGGGGTCATTCTACCCCACTAAGACTGACAATAACTTGCCCAGTGCCCATTACCTACCCACTCTGACTGCGCAGATGGGGCCACCCTAGCAGACAGAAGGCCCAGCCAAGTCCCTGACCCTTGCCTGCTCCAGCTGAGCAAAGTAAAAAAGGCTGAGACACAGGTTTTAGCTTCCCCTGGAGAGAGCAACTGCTCCCCGTTTTCTAACCACCCTGTGCTCCCTCCAGTTCAGTCTGCTGAGGGCACCACACTACTGAATCAACAGGGCATGATGCTCTAGTAACCAGAAAACTGTCCGAGTTGGTCTAGGGTGGAAGACTAGTCACAGCCACTTCCCAGACCTCAGTTTCTTCAACGGGCTTCAAGGAGGCTCAGAAGATAAAAATAAGGACACCCTGTGACAAACTACAGAGGAAACATTCTGAAGCAGGCAGAGCACCCGCTGTGGTAGCTCAGACCTGTCATCCCAGCACATGGAAGGTAGAGGCCAGCCTGAGCTACAGAGCAAGACCCTGTTTGATCCCAGCACTCGGGAGGCAGAGGAGGCGGATCTCTGAGTTAGAGGCTAGCCTGGTCTACATATAGAGTTCCTGGCCAGCCACAGCTACACAGTCTCAAGACCCTGTCTCAAAAACAACAAACCAGTTCAGTGGATAAAGGTGCTTGCAGCCAAGCCTTCTGACGGGAATTCGATGACCAGAAACCACATGGTAGAAGCAAAGAACCGACTCCTGCAAGTTGTCCTCTGACCTCCACACGCGCGCACGTAAACAAAAATAAATATTAGAAATTATAAGACAAAGTGATGAGTCCTCTATCCGTGGGGTTATAGCTGGCTCCAGAGCTAGGACTCGAGAGAAACTGAGGCAAGCACTACCGCAGAACCGCAAGCCCGGGCGGTGCGCGGCCGGACCGCGATGGAGGCCGCGGGCGGGTCCCGTGCGACGGCCGCGCAGATCCTGTCCCCGTCGCCGTCCCCGCCCACCGGGTCTCACCTGGCTGAGGGACTGGCGCGACCGTCTGTCCATCCCATGGCCCGGAACCGCTTGGGGAGCGACGGCGAAGGAGCGCTTTGTCTCCCCGCTGCCGAGCTGCGGAGACCTGCGGACGCCCCTTTAACCCTGAGCGGCCCGCCCTGGAGGGGCCCGCCCCTGAGCCCTACACGCCCGCCCATTGGCCAGCCCCCACAGGCCCCGCCTCCGGGACCGCCACGCCCCCACTCGCGAGCATGGAAACCACTCTTAAAGGGACCGTGCTGAAGTCACTTGGAGTCTCCAGGGTTCTATCCTAGAAAAACGGAGGATCTGAGCCAAGGAAAAAAACTAGTGCAGCTTCAGAAGTTAAAGACGCAAAGCTTGCGGCACGGCTCAGCGGGTAAAGGCGCAGACCTCTAATCCGGCCACAGTGCAGGCAGAGGCAGGTGGATCTCTGTGAGTTCAAGGCCGGTCTGCTCTACACGTTCAGATCTAGACTAGCCTGGACTCCAAAAAGGAGAATCTGTCTTTAACAAAAATTAACCCATGGCGTTTCCAGACAAAATCAACAGGTCTGTTGTAAATGTGCAGGGCACATTTACATTTGCCCAAGTCAACATTTGCCCAAGTGAAAAGGAAAGTTCTAGAAGTTAACAAAGCCGGAGGTCCACGGAACCACTACACCTTTGTGTGCTCTCTCAACAGAAGCTCCGCGTCGCTGGGCTTCCATATTTTGTCCGTAAAATATAAAGACAAGCGAATTATTTACAGGGTGTGATTCAGCTGCTGGCATTCTCAGTAAATAGGAATTGCTGGAGTTTTACTTTTCCCCCTCCTCTTCCCAAAATAACACGGTTCCACCTCCCAAAATCCTTTACTTCCTGTTCTTTCGGCCTCCTCACTTCCTTCTACCTTCCTACCCCGGGTTCTCACAGCCTGAGGACAAGAGAAAAACAAGACAGACCAGGATCCCTGCTCCATTCCAGATCGGCTCGCCAGCGCCTACTATGTGCAGCCTGGTCCAGAGAGAAGTAGCCAAAAGTCAATCAACAAACAATGCTAATGTGTGGTGTGAGGAAGAGAATAGGCAAGAGCAGGAGGACAGCCTTAAGACAAGTCTCAGAAACAGCCGTTGAGGAGCAGCGACCTACTGGGATGTGTGAAAACCTTGGGAGACCTGCAGGAAGGGGTCCCCCAGCAGCAAGTCCAACAGGCCCAGTGTGCAAGTGGAGGAAAAAGAAGTTAGGGCCACAGGCTTTTACTAGGCTGCATTGCAGAGAACACCGTGAAACTGGAGGAAAACGTTGCTTTCAGGCATGCATGGTAGCACACACTTGTAATTCCAGCAGTTGGAAGAAAGAGGCAGGAAGATGGCTGCAAAGCCATAACTACATAGCAAGATCCTGTCTTAAAAAATATTTTTTTAATTAATATAGTAGATCAGGTTGGCCTTGAACTCACAGAGAGCATCTTGTCCTCCTCCCAACTTTAGGGGAGGATTAATGACGGGCACTATGATGCCTGGCCTGTGGGGGATTTTGAGCTGAGCTGAGATCTTCGGGAGCTGGAGGACAAACATGAGCCTAGGGCACGGATCTGAGTAAATGCTGGTGGCACCTTAGAGGGCAGTGGGACAGCAGAGGTGGGCAGTGGGCAAATTTCGTGCCTGGTTTTAAGATATACACAGTTTCCTGATGGCTTTCTATGTGGAAAATGAGAGACTCAGAAAAGGGGTTGAGGGCTGGAGAGATGGCTCAGCAGTTAAGAGCATGGCCTGGCCGGGCGGTGGTGGCCCACGCCTTTAATCCCAGCACTCGGGAGGCAGAGGCAGGTGGATCTCTGTGAGTTCGAGACCAGCCTGGTCTACAAGAGCTAGTTCCAGGACAGGCTCCAAAATCACAGAGAAACCCTGTCTCGGGGAAAAAAAAAAAAAAAAAAAAAAAAAAAAAAAAAAAAAAAAAAAGCCCCGCCC